AGAGAAATGACACATCCTATCTAGGTTATCCTTCCCTTCTCCCTTAAGTGGTAGCCTACTCCACTTCATGCAATTCCTCTCCAGCATATGCAACAGCTACACATGTGAATTACCACAAAAAGCCTATAAACTTGACACTCAGGTCTTCCTCCAACCACAGCATTCACTAACATCACCAGTTATCTTTGCCCAAATCTGGAAACTCCCAACTGAATTTAACTTGCTCAGTTCTCTGAAACTTCTTACAAACACATTCTCCTCCACAATGGAAATGGCATATCCTCCCACATATACCACCAACCACTCTGCTCACAGAGGAAAAAGGGCAAAATGTAAAAGTAGATGGACTGGTGAGTTAAATATATTAGGAAAAAAATAGTAAAGCAAGTTCACCAACATCTCAAACCAGGCTTTGAGAAATGACCCACAGTTGAACTGTGTTTGGCCCAGTAGGTGTTCTAATAAGAAACCAACATTTAAAAGAAATAGATGTTCTTTCAACATTAAAGTTAAAAACATAAATAAAAATAGCCCAGCCGGCATGGCTCAGTGGTTGAGCATCGACCTATGAACCAGGGTTCATAGGGCATATGCCTGGTTTGCAGGCTTGATCCCCCCATTGTGGAGCATGCAGAGGCAACCGATCAATTATTCTCTCTCATCATTGATGTTTCTATCTCTCTCTTCCTCTCTGAAATCAATATTTTAAAAATAAATAAGAAATGTTAAAGAGATTATCTTGGGGTGGCGAATACACTATACAATATACAGATGTATTGAAGAATTGTACGCCTGAAACATATAGAATTTTATTAACAAATGTCACCAAAATACATTCAGTACAAACATAATAAATAAATAAACAAATAAATGAGATATAGAGGAACCTAAGCCCAAGTTCCTGCAGAGTAACAAAGGGATGGAGCTGAGTAGCAGCTGGTCCTTAGATGGGGCACGTGCTATCTGCTATTTCTGACAACTGCCCACATTTATTATCCATCTGGCCTACTTCAGTGATAGAGCAGCAAAAATCATGGGGGCATGAGAATTTGCTACTCCGAAATGATAGGACAATAAACTAAGTCAATAAAGATTTTTGTTTGCTGTTTAAGAGTGATCTTTTGTGAGCACCTACACTGGACAAGTTATCTTCTGCCAAGTCGCTTTTAGTGTGATAATTTTCTTAAAAGGTTCCAAATAATTTGTTGTGGTCTTTAAGAAGACCACAATAGTTAAGAAGAATCAGTTAAAAGTGACTGAAAGGCCATTTGGAATAGAATGCCTGAGCTAAAAGATCAAAATCAGTGGGGTATTCAATTAACAGAGGTTAAAATCCCATAGATCCTTATGTTAAAAAGCATTTATGACATGTACAGAATAAAAGAGTAGTTCTTCACAAGAGTGATATGTTTACATGACTAAAAAGTATTTCACAGTTAGAAAGCACTTCCAATATTTCACATACTAATATTCTTTTTTTGTTTGTTTGTTAATCCTCACCCGAGGATATTTTTCCATTGCATAAAAAAAGACAAGAGCCTTCACTAAGGTCACCCTAGTTAATATGGCATAGATAGGCTCAGAATCCAGTTGTGTTAACTCATAAGTCCTATGGCTCCTTCCATTACAATACACTGCCTCTGCGGCCTCTCATCTACTACTGTCCTACAAAGGGTAGAAAAGCTATTCAGGGATTACAGAGAAACGTGGTTCAACAGGAGACTGGAAGTATCCATTCAATGACTCTGCACCAAAGTCTACAAAATTCATTCTGATTTCAAGAACAGAACTGGCCCTTCACTCACTTTCAGATCTCCAAAGGAAAGTCATTCATTTCTATGGAACTGCTTGGCACTACATTTGTGTATCATACATATCTCGTCTTACCAATTATTTTGAAAGATTTTCCAGGAGACAGCAACTGTTATGCTGCATTTTGCGTCCAGTGTAAATGCTCAATACTTCATTATTTATACACAAAATTTAATAAATAACTCATCTTTCATTTCAAGAAACAAAGGCTAGAAACAGCCTTCATTAATTTTCAGATATAATGACAAAGACATTTAAATTGTAATATGAAGGAAACAAAAATAAGAAAAAGTAGCTAGGGATATAAGTTTTGTGTTTATAAACCTTAAAGAATTAAGCCCTTTTTTTCTCATCAGCTGAAAAAATAATTAGAAAAAGAAAATCTAACTTTAGAGGGTTAACATGATTTTACATATAATATTTAAGATTTTTTTTACTTAAAAATATAAAAATACATATAGACATCTGAATTTGCTACCCCTAAGCACCAATAAAAATCTTTGTTTTAGCTTAATGATTTTCTTGTTTTTAATCCTCACCCAAGGATATATTTAGTGATTTTAGAGAGAAAGGAGGGAGAAAGAGAAACATCAATCGGTTACCTCTTCTACGTGCCCTTTTTTTTTTTTAAAATATATTTTATTGATTTTTTACAGAGAAGAAGGGAGAGGGACAGAGAGTCAGAAACATTGATGAGAGAGAAAAATCGATCGGCTGCCTTCTGCACGCCCCGCAGTGGGGATGTACCTGCAACCAAGGTACATGCCCTTGACCGGAATCGAACCTGGGACCCTTGAGTTCGCAGGCCGACGCTCTATCCACTGAGCCAAACCGGTTTGGCTTCTATGTGCCCTTTTAGGTTTATGCACATAAAGCCTTCATGAGGCATGGCATTTTATTTATTTTATTTTTTATCCTCACCATTTCAAAAATTCTTTTTATTGCTTTCAGAGAAGAAGGGGAAGGGAGAGATAGAGAAACATCAATGATGAATCATTGATTGGCTGTGAGGAAAGGCATTTTAAATCTTTACTTAGAATGAAAATCAGCCCTAGCCAGTTTGGCTCAATGGCTAGAGTGTCAGCCTTCAGACTGAAGGGTCCCAGGTTCGATTCCGGTCAAGGGCACATGCCCAGGTTGTGGGCTCAATCCCCAGCGGGGAGCCTGCAGGAGGCAGCCAATCAATGATTCTCTCTTATCATTGACTAGAGGCCCGCTGCACGAAGATTCGTGCAATAGGCCTTCTTTCCCCTGGCTACCAGCACCAGCTTTCCTCTGGCACCCAGGACCCAGACCTTCACTCTGGCCACGGCCTTCCATCTTCGCTCTGGACACAGTTTTTGCTGCGGCTGGAGCCTTCAGTTTTTGCTCCTCACTCCAGCAGGAGTCTTCAGTCTCTGGCCAGAGCTGCTCTTTAACTCCTTGAGCCCCCTACTCTCCCCCTGCAGGCAAGGCGGCCCGGCTTTCCAATCACAATCACTGGCCGCAGGCAAGGCGGCCCCTGGGTCCCGTGGTGCTGCCTTGCCTGCGGCCCTGCTTTCCGATCACGATCACGGCCGCAGGGTCCTGCCACCCAGGGCCACACACAGAGGTCCCAGCTGGGTGCGGGGCATAGGTGGTGCGTTGGCACTGCCAAGCCCCACTGCCCAGGGCTGCACACGGGGGCCCGGATGGCGGCTCACACTGGCTCACTCTGCCTGCAGTATGCAAATTAGCGGCCATATTTGTTAGCGGTTAATTTGCATATCGCGCTGATTAGCCAATGGGCGGTGTAGCGAAGGTATGGTCAATTACCATGTTTGTCTATTATTAGATAGGATGTTTCTCTCTCTCTCTCCCTCTCACTTCCTCTGGGGGTGGGGAATGAAAATCAGAGAGTAAGTAGGTAAAATAAAAATCTAGAAAAGAAATACAGCCCCTTAATTTGGATTAGAACAAGAGCAACATTTTATCCCTGCACAATGAAAATGCCTGGATATACACCAGTCAGTAGAAACTTAATTTTACACATCAACTAATTTCAGAACACTTATTTTTCTTTGTCAAGTACTATCCAAGGACTCCCCTGCAAGACTTAATGCCATGCTACTAATAATTTACTATAGCACCATTTACAAGAGCAGGTTTTTGGAAAACTAAATCATTTGGGGATTGGTTAAATAGATTGTGGTATGTCCATACAATGGAATACCATGCAACCTTTAAAAAAAGAGAGAAAAACCTTTCTCTGTATGTTGTATTTGTTTGTTTGATTAAATATGTTCTCACTGAGTTTTTGAGAGAGAGAGGAAGGGAAAGGGAGAGAGAGATAGGAAACTTTGATGAGACAGAAACATCAACATCGAATGGCTGCCTCTTGCACATCCCCTACGGGGTATTGTGGCATGTTCCCTGACGGGGAATCAAACCAGGACCTCCTGTTACATGGGTTGACCACTGAGTCACACTGGCCAGACTTATATATGTTTTTAATCCTTGATTTTAAAAAAACTTATGGTTTTAATGTTGCTTAGCTTCAGTTTGAAGTGCAACTTTCACTAATAACTGCAATAAAAAGAAAAGCTTTGCTACAAAAAGGAAACAATCTATTGTGGCACAGAGTATTAGAAGTACATAAAGTTTTAAGGTAAACAAAACACTTTCAAAAAAATGTCATGCTGCTTCTAATTCTGATCTCAGGGGCCTAGAAGTACACACATTTATTCTCTTAACCCCTGAAGAGGCAGGAAGGGTTGAGAACTACTACACCAAGGACATTAAAGCAGCATTCTCAATGGCAGTGGAAAGGGCAAAGGATTCAAGCTAGACAGATCTTGATATGCAGCCCAGTTCTTGCCATCGGGTGACCTTAGATCAGTTCCTTAACCTTGAGCTCAGAGCCTCAGTTTCTCCATCTATAAAATGTGGTCAATACCACTTACCTTGTAGTTTTGTTATAAGGATTGGAATTAATATATGTTAAGCAAACTGCCTGACTCTAGAAGGAATAAAATAATGATGGCTATTATTATAGCCATCACAAGGCTATTAGAATGTTTACTTGACTATCTATAACCATTTATTTTGATTCAATTTATGAGAACAAGATAAGGTGGCCAATGGATATTATATGCTCTCTCAACCGATCATAGGAAGAAAATAGGCCAATAGGATAAAATTACCTAGGTGAAACACTTCATTATACTCACATATTTCATTTCAAACTTCTTAGCCAACATTTCCACTTCTTGCCTCTCTTTATGCTCATCATTAAATGGGTCTTCTGTGTGAATGGGCTTCTTCTGATTCAATGTGAGTGGGAAAAGAAATAGAAGTATTAGTATTAATTCAATCAGAGTTGAATATATCCTTAAATTTAATAATGAGAATCATTTTTTCCAAATATTAACGAATAATAAGTTAAAAGCATTAAAAAAAAACTAGAAAGAAATGTTGGTTTGTAATAAAAAATATTTACAGTTTTAACTGATTTTTATACATTGTAAAAATTTTTTTTGGTGGATAAGAACTTAACAATGCAAACTGTCGCTTCTGTAAAATGATTGTATGGTCACCCCATTCAAAAGAAGGCAAAAGAACTCTAAGAAAATTAGGTAAAAATAAAAACCCCACTTATAACTATAGTTTGAGATCGTCCCAACAAAGATTAACTGCTTTGATCAGGAAATGCTTCTAAAGGAATCTCTAGGTTATTAATTTAGAGTCAGCATTTAATCATCTGCCCTGTGTTATCACTAGGTTATCTATAGCTGCTTTGGCTTTCTGCTGAGGCCCAGCATCAACCTCTACATCGCCTACATCCTGTCAACAGATATCCAATCAGGGAATACATTTCACTTTTAAACAAAGCTAGAAAAGTGAAATAACTGCAAATAGAAAACATTACAGTTTACTTCTAGCAAGGAAGAGTGAAAGTTTATTATAATATATATTAATCACACACAGCTAGGATCCCACATTTTCCATTTTTACCAAAACAAAGTATAAATAAAGTAAACTAAAAAATAAATCACATCTTTTACTAAAGTTTACTATTTTAACAGAAACATTTCATACATATGGCTTTTCAATATACAAAAAAGCCAAAACAAAGAGCTACAAAACAATTGACTAGAAAGGTAATTTTTTTTAAAAAAAGGGAGGCTACATGTTTTTATTGAAGTAGCATCTCAAGTAATTAATAATGAAAGTACGTGAAAATTTGAAATACTGGATACAGATTTGGTTAACCCTGAAGGGCAAGCGAAAAAATGCACAAAGGACAAATATGTGCACACTGTGAAATTGAGACACTTCATTCTGGATACAAAGGCTGAGATATAATCAGTCTAAAAAATATGACAGAAAAAATGGACAAGATGAATCCAAAACAACTCATCATACTTAGGACATTTTTTAGAATAAAGGGATAATCATTAAAGTTTAAAGGAAATAATTTTAGAATCAATTTTTAAAACTATTATAACTAATAAACTACAGAATCCTTTATAAGAGTTACCAATGGAAAATATAAACATGGTCCGAAAGGAAATAGACTAATAATAAAATAAGAAATACTAGGCATGTTCAGGGTATGACCTTATGTTGAGACTAAAGTTAAGGACATTAAGGACAGTGAGCAACCACCATGCCTTGCCATTATAAACTGTTCATGTCACTGTGAAGTCCAAATATTAGGTCTTACTACTGGTCTGACTAGTTTTACATGTGCAAACAAACACTTTTTTTAAAAAATAAGAACACCTTGTATGACATTCTAAAATATCTTATGTAGACTTTATATAGGCATCAAAAGTAAATCTCATATTTACTCGACAATCTACAAATATCAATTTACAAAACTTACTTTTCTTTCACAGTTAAGAAATAACTCCCTACCTATAATCAAGGCTCTAAGTAAGCTGTATGATTTTTCAGGTGAAAAAGATCTGAAAATTAGTAAATATCGAAATTACCAACTGCCACCAGGCAAAATTGAGACAGTAATTTTGTTCTTTGACCTTAACTCAAAACCATTTTCAGGAGATCTTTCATATATGTTAACCAAAATATGCAATATAAAAAGCAGTGGGCCCTGGACTGTGTGGCTAGCTCTGTGGTCGGCAAACTACGGCTCGCGAGCCACATGCGGCTCTTTGGCCCCTTGAGTGTGGCTCTTCCTAAGCCTTAGGAGTACCCTAATTAAGTTAATAACAATGTACCTACCTGTATAGTTTAAGTTTAAAAAATTTGGCTCTCAAAAGAAATTTCAATCATTGTACTGTTGATATTTGGCTCTGTTGACTAATGAGTTTGCCGACCACTGGGCTAGCTTGATTGAGCACCTTCCCATGCACAGAGAGGTCACCAATTCAATTTCTGGTCTGGGCACATGCCAAGTTTCAGGTTTGATCCCCAGTAAGGAGTATGCAAAATATGAGGAGGCAGCCAATCGATGTTTCTCTCTATCATTAATGTTTCTCTCTGACTTCCTCTATCTCTAAAATCAACTGAAAAAAAATTCTGAATTAAAAAAATACATTTTTTTTCAAAAGGCAATGGAATACTCTAGAATTCTATAACCGTATAATCACGTTAACATGATTATCTTTATTTTTCCTTTTATAGTAGAGGCCCGGTGCATGAAATTCGTGCGGGGGGCGGGGGGGTCCCCCTTGGGGGATGTCTGACTGCAGGGATTGGGTCTAAAACAGCAGTCGGACATCCCTCTTGCAATCCAGGACCACTGGCTCCTAACTGCTCCCCTGCCGGCCTGATCGCCCCTAACCTCCTCTGCCTGCCAGCCTTATCGCCCCTAACTGCTCTCCCCTGCCAGCCTTATAGCCCCTAACTGCCTCTGCCTCAGCCCCCGCTCCCGTGACTTTGTCCGGAAGGATGTCTGGATGGATGTCCAGAAGATGTCTGGTCTAATTAGCATATTACCCTCTTATTTGTATAGAAAATATTCAATGAATCATTCTGGATATACATAAAGCCAAAACAAGCCCAGCCGTGTGGCTCAATGGCTGAGCACAGAACTATGAACCAGAGGTCACATGCCAGGGTTGCAGGCTTGATTGTGAGCTTAATCCCCAGTGGGGGGAGTGTAGGAGGTAGCCAATCCATTATTCTCTCTCATCACTGGTATTTCTATTCCTCTCTCCCTCTCTAAAATCAATAAAATTTAAAAAAAAAAAAGCGAAAACAAACTCATGTTCGGTTTTCTGGTTTACTAGGAGTCAAAAAAAAATTTTCTTTTGTAGCAATTACTGCCAAAATGTATTCCTAAATTGTACTATTTCCCTTTAGCCAGAAATGGTGAACAAATTAATCTTTCAGGATAGAGACGATTGCAATGCCTCAGTCATCATCCTGAACCACTTAATGAGGACTCAATACTCTACAGAAGTAACAAAGGTTAAGAGGTTTAGCTAACCTGTGTCCTGAAAACCTGGAAGGATATTTTGATTTTCATATTTTGCCAACATTTGCTCATTTAATTTCACTTTTCCTCATTAATAAAAAATATATAGAAAAAAATTCTATACTGCATTCAGTTAATTAGGGTTTTCTTGTTCATTTTGTATTTATGAAGGGGGATGATTTAAGTACACCTCAATAGAGATGGTATTCACAGGTAACACATTCTTTATACCTATACCTATCAACTTAAGGATCTAAAGCTAAAATTTTCTTATTCAATGACAGATGGCTATTTCAAAATTTTAGAATCTTTTTCTTTTAACTTTTATAAGATCTCTCTTCCTCCCCTTTCCACTCTTACTCTGCTATATGGTATGCCGTTCAATTACAATAACTCAAAATTAAAATTATTTAGAAAATATTACAACATCCCTAAAAATAACTGGATTCCCCCTAAAGGGAAGAAAAGCCAAATTTGGGAATTATCACTTTCCAGACCAATTATAATGTCCACACTTTGCTTTTTAATGGTCTCTCTTCCTAGGATTTCCTTTCATGGGTCTACGACAACTTTATTTTAGAAAAGTATTTTCTATAATTATGTAATGAATATGTTCATTGGAAGCAATCATAGGAAAATCTGACAAATCTTTGCTGCAAAGATGCATTAACGTCCTCCTTTGTAAAATGGAGATAATGGTTCCTACCTCATGAAGTTCGCTGCACAAAACTAGATAAACCATGCACCATACTTACAACTGTACCTAGCACACTGTAAGAAGTAAGTAAATGTTAGATGTATTTTCACTCAAAAAGGATGCTTTTCATCTGCAATTTATAACAGATTAAGAAGTAAAACTGCAACCTACTTAAATTAGAAGATGAAATACAATTTATTTGAAAAATACAGCAATCCAATATTTTCAAAAATATTTTTGCGGAAAAAGTGACATAACATTTGTAAGTAACAGGGGCACTAAAATGAGCTTAACAGGCAAAATGTTATGAGGAAGTAACCAAAATTACCTCTACCCTTAATTCATTTTGGTTGAAAACATTTAGTAATGATTTGACCAAACAGCATTTGTAAATAATGATCAAAAGATTAGTTGGCCATAAAATAAAGAAAATCTAGTGACAGTGTTTAAAATGATTATTTTTTAAACTAAGAAGTCATTCATTTCAACTATAAAGAGGTGAGGATTGCCCAGCTCGCATGGCTCAGTAGATGAGTGTTGACCAGTGAACCAGGAGGTCACCGTTTGATTCCCAGTCAGGGCACATGCCCAGGTTGCTGGCCCGATCCCCAGTGTGCAAGAGGCAGCGGATCAAGGATTCTCTCTCATCATTGATGTTTCTATCTCTTTCTCCCTCTCACTTCTTCTCTAAAATCAATAAAAATATATATTTTTAAAAAAGATAGCTGAGCCCTGACCAATTTGGATCAGTGGATAGAGCATCGGCCTGCGGACTGAAGGGTCCCAGGTCCGATTCAGGTCAAGGGCATGTACCTTGGTTGCCGGCACATCACTAGTAGGGGGTGTGCAGGAGGCAGCTGATCGATGTTTCTCTCTCATTGATGTTTCTAACTCTCTATCCCTCTTCCTTCCTCTCTGTAAAAAATCAATAAAATATATTTTTTTAAAAAAATAAAAAAGATAGCTGAGGATAAAAACAAAACAAGTGATTTCTGGAGTCCCCTAGACCTGTGCTAAAGCAAAACCTAATAAAGAACATAACTTCTAAACAAGAGGAAACTATTCTCTTATTACTGTTACTCTATCATTTCCCTTTTTAGTTTACTTCTGAAAATCACAAACGCATGACAGAAATTACAATTACCAACAAACCTCTCTTCTATCTCCATTGTTAACCAGTTCCGTCAAAGGCACAGCTATACATTATCAATCAAGTTTTTAAAAATTCAAAGCTAACATGCTTTTCATCCTTCTCCAAAAATTACAACGGCCGAGTGCAATACCCTCCAACTCAAACTTATGAACTAATGATACGCTTTCAAATAAGAAAGTGGTAGTTGGTGCCAAAGGAAACAGGAGAGTCACCTTCCCATTCAATTACAAAACGAAACCCCGGAGAAAACAAACAGAGAAAGGCTTACCAATACTCACACAGGAGAGAAAAGCAAGTAACCAGGTAACTAACACTTCCCCTCCATTTTTAAAGTGGAATTCTTAGTCTGAAAATGTCTCTAGATCATTTTTAAATCCCCTTCCATTCAGAAAAACCCTGCACGCTCCCCAGCGCGCCTCAGCGGCCACAGCGCCGAGCACAACAAACAGGGATGGAGACGGGGCTGACACGCGAGGGGACACGATTCCCCGGCCCGACTGGGAGGAGGGGCGTGTCCCCCAAGGCTCTCGCTTCCTTTCTACCGGAAAGGACAGCTGGAGCCCCACACGGAAAACCCACCCACACGACTTGCAGGGCCCTCCGAATTTGTGTGGGAAGCAAGAAGGAGGAAAATCGGCTGTTTCGAAAGGTGCGGAGGAAAACCGGCTCGGAGCGGCCTTCGGCTCAAGATGGGGGTCAGTGGAGGCAGGGGTGAGGGGGTGGAGGGGCCCCCGCGGCTCACTCCGAGAAGCAGAGGAAAACTAGCGCCAACCACTGGTCCACCCGCTCAGCCCCTGCCCCCTCCACCAGCCCGCCCCCCAGGGCGACCCGAGCCGCGCAGGGTGGGCGTCAGGAAGTGCAAACCGCTGGGGCAGGTGGACGGGTCCCGAGGCTCCCGGGGTCTCGGGGAGAAGGGAGGAAGCTTCTGTACCCGTTGTTCTCCGCACAGGAGCAGCTCCGGGTAACTGAACTCCACGCAGCTCTCGTCGGTCGGGTCCTTGAGCACCAGCTCCAGGCGCACCGTCTCCCTCGGGGGCCTGG